AAATATGATATGTCAAGAGCTTTGTAATGTTGTGAACAACCAATAAAAAATTTAAAAAAAGAACAGGCAAAGATAAGTATATAAAAGCAAAATTATATGTAAAATCCACAAATATTCCCAACAATGACTGTCTCAGATATATTTCTGTTCCAACACTTAGTGTTTTGACAGAAATATAATAAAGACATAATAATTTTTATGAATTAATTTTATCATATTTAGAAGTGTTAAATCATGTTCATTGAAGAGTAAGCAAAACTGAAAAGCAGAAAAAAATAAGAACAGAAAGTAAGAACCACCAAACAAAACAAGTGTTTATCACCTTTTCTCTTGAATTAAAACAGCGTTGACCAGGAAAATTTTTGAAAGGTTCTTATTTCCGAGCTTGACATCCCATTTGAATTTAGTGTGTATTTAGTGTGTATTAGCACAAAGGATTTTTCAAACAAATGATCTCACTTATTTTAATGTGACCACCTGACAGAAAACTGTACCTTTGCAATGTATGCTATATTTTGTAAAGAAAAGATAGTGTCAACTAAGTACATATGTTACTGAGGCTAAAAAATAAATATTCCTTTTCTCTTTTTTCACAGTGCTGGGCACTGAACTCAGCCAGTGAGCACAGTAGGTATGCAGTCTACCACTGAGCCACATCCCCAGTCCATTCCCTTATCAATGAACCAGGAGCAAAATTCCTAATAAAATGCCACAGGGAGAAGAGAACAGAACTACAATGTATCACTGTCCCCGGGACAATGATTATTGAGACCATTTGTGGGCTTTATACATAATTTTGTTTCTGCATATCAATCTTTGCCTCTTCTTGTTTTTAACCTCCAACTTTTCCTTCTTTCTAATTATTATTTCTCTTAATTCTTCATTAATGGAAATATATCCATTCCTATGAACAAAATGTTCCACATTCTTTCATACTTATATTTTTGTGTGGATCCTGATGTTAGTTTTTTTTTTAAGAAAGTCTATGTGGCTTGAAGTTGACCTTAAATACTCTATAATTATTTAATAAAACATGAAAATAGTGTGTATTAAATCTGCTGATTAAAAACTCCCTCTGGCTGATTTTCAATCTCCCAGAAATTGTCTAAAATATCATCCAACATCAACAACAATTATAATCAGTTGCAGAAATGAGCAACAGCACAAAGAAACATTACAACACCTACATAATTATAATAGATCCTTTTTTCTTTTTCTTTTTTTTTAATCTTTGCCAGTTTGCCTTAGTAATTCCCAAAGTATGATTCAAATGCATGGTATGTATGGTTCACTTACTTCATTCCCTTCTAATTCAAAAAACTCAAACTTCATAGAAATTCTGTATTGAGTTGGTGCAACCACTTGCCACACACAATTTTTGTTGGGAGGGTACTCTTTAGGCCAGCCAGGGGTAGTGATAGTGCCATTGAGCTTGGATAGAAGTCCTCCACAAGCCACTAAAAATAAGGAAAAGGTTTGCTTAATAACATCACCCCCTTTTGACCCCCCTTTCCACTTGTACCTTAGCATCCCAATGTGAAATTTCAACCATCTTCAGGATTTCAAAATCTAATAACTGCACTCTCTGCTCCTTAGCTTTTAATACAACTATTTTAATCATCAAATCCCATTTATAAACTGCTATCTTATAACTTTAGAACAAAGTAAATTATGACTGTACTACCACATTTTAAAAAACTTGAAAGTTGGTCAAGCAATATAAAATGGGTTACTTAACTTTTAAATGAGTATAATGACTACCATAGTGTCTTGGCTACTATAGAATTAAAAAAAAATTTTCTTTTTCAAGAATTGATAAGGCTGTTGTGGGAATTAAGGAAAGAAATGTACATTGATAGATAGATATCATAATACAGTTTCATGGCAATAAGACCAAAATCAATTATTTATTTTCTCAGACTATTTTTTCCAAAACAAGTAATGCTATTATCTAAGCTAACAAGCAAGATAAATTGTGGCAAACAGAACATACTTGTCCCCCCAAAAAATCTACTTAACAACTGGTTTTCTTTCCTTTGGGATGATCTATTTATATTTCTTCTCTTTCCTATTGATACCAAAATTTGCAAAATCATGTTTTCCAAAAGCAAGTTGAAAGAAAAGGACATATATTGTGCACAGTATAATTAATTAACTCCTAGGGATTCCAGAGTTACATAAAGATAACTGGCCTCTTTCTTTGTCTTTGTGCACATATGCATGTGCATATATATTGCCATATTTATAAGTGTGCAAAAGTACTACCTGAACATTCACTTTTATCAGTTTTTGGCAAATGACCGCGAAGTAAAATGTTTGTTTCTAGAACCCACATATAAATAATAGTCATGTTCTTTTATGATTGATATACATTGTTCTCTTCTGAAATAATACTGCATCTACTTTGTAACTATGTCATTTTCATTCTAGGAGAGGAGGTTTAGTAGTTTAACAGGTAGGATGGAGACTTTTGAAAGCCAGACAAAGTTCAAACTCACAAGAAGAAATAGGGAGACTGACTTTTTTTTAAAGAAATAGGCCATCAAGGGTGTGACACTTATTCCTTAAGCAAACAGTTTTGCTGCTTTTGCCACTTTCATCCTGTTACAGACACAGTGGAGAACAAGGTGCTCACTTTCCAGAGAATTGCTTCTTGGTGAACAAAATCAAAAATAAATTAGTACATGAATACAAATAATAGTAAATTGCTACAAGTTCTAGGTAGATAAATTTAGCAGATTTTTTAAAGAGAGATAAAATAGAAATTGACCATAGGAAGGAAGAGCAGTCAATTTCTTCCATCTGTTAATGAAGGTCTGTAAGAGGGTGGAGGAGGGAAGGTGAAAAAGAGGGAGCTTTAAATTCTTAGGAAAGGGATCTTAAGCCATGGGAACAAAACACTGTATGGCAAACTTCACGTTAGATCGTGAAGGGAAAATGCAGAAAACCATGGCAAGTGATCATTTAATAAATCATATATTCATAAAATGTGCATTTAGCTTTATGCAAAATGCTTTGCTCTGACTGTGCTAGATGTTAAAGATACAAAGATGGTTCAGATTCTGGCTTGTCATCTTAATAAGGGAGACATTCATACACTATGTTAAAAAAAAAGATAAAAACAATGATGAATAGACCAATGGATGGATGCATGGAGGGATGGATACAAAACTAGATCTAGATAAAGATATAAATCAATATGTATGTATGTATCTATCTATATCTATCCATCCATCCATCCATCCATCCATTATGGGCCTGGTGACCAAAGGAGAAAAGGACTGATCTCTAACAAGAATCCAGGCAAAGATTCACAGCAGCCCTGACTGTGAGTGAAGTGAACATGAAGGAAAGAGAGAGACAAGAGAATGAGAATACATGAAGGAAAGGGATGGGCAGGGGTCTCCAGGCAGGCAGCACTGTGGCAATCCAGCCCTACCCTCGCAGCTTCTCCGGTCAGGCCCCAGTTCGTAGCCAGGCTCGCAGGCACACTGGTAGCTGCCCAGAGTGTTCAGACAGCGCTGCTCACAGCCTCCTCGGTCAGGTTTGGCACACTCGTCCTCCTCTATAAAAATGGTGAGAGATACAGAACAAGTAGAGCGTTTTGTCTTTACATGGTAGGGTGCAAAAATTTTTGTAAATATGATGCTTACTGGCTCTAAATAAAAAAAAGACGATTCATTTCTTTGGGAAAGGAGCAGGAACAATGTATAAGCCCTTGATGGATCACACAGAAGGCTCATGTCTGTAACCTCCTAAGAATTGTGGAAGAACCAAGAGAAAACTAGGACAGGGTCAATGGAACAGTACCTTCTCCAAGACACAGTGTGTGTGTTTGTGGGGTTTTTATTTTTCCTGAATTTCAGGTCAAATGAGACTGTCAAATCTTAGAGGTTGTTCAGAATAAAATAGAAAAACTTACTGAAAAAGCATAGTTTCCCTACTAATTTCATAGTATAATTTGCTAGATAAATCTCAAAAAACTGATTCTAGGGGCTACTGAAATATAGTTCAGTGATAGAGTACAAGCTTAGCATGAACGAGACCAGCCTGGTGTCAATCTTCAGCATCATACACACACATATAAAATTATTCCTTCATACTGGAGATTGAACTCAGTGACACTGAGTAAAAATCCATCACTTTGTATTTTTTATTTTGAGACAGGGTCTCGCTAAGTTGCAGAAGGTCTTGCTAAGTTGCTGAGTCTGGCCTCAAATTTGCCATTCACAGGCATAAAATGTTTTTTAAAAATATCATTATTAAGAAATATTATGTGGCAATTTTACACTTTGATCTATTCATATAGTTAGAGCATCGAGTTTTTCTGTATTTCAATTCATATGATGAATACTTAAGTAACTCTCAGGGATAATTCATTTACTGTTGTTCTTGAAATAAGGAAAATATTTAGATGTCTATCAATAAATATTGACATATACATATTGATTGCTTCATTTATCCTATAAAAAGCAGTGTATAGATAATTGTTTGCTCCACTCATAGGAAATGTTATTCAACAATGACACTCTTAATATAAATGTCTATGAATTTCCCACAGGCATATTTGATGTTTCTATTTACACAAAAGTAGTTTTCACTTTACCTTCATAAAACACATCTAATATGTGAGATAAAAATAAAAATGCAATTATGCAATTCAAAATTAAAGCTGATCAGAAATAATCCTTTGTCATAAAGACATTTTAGGCATCAGAATAATTTGCTAAAGAAGATGTAAATTCTTTCCTGTGTGGAAGAACACCATTCTGGAAGTGATTCTTTAGACATGCTGGCACTTGGAGGTAAACTGATGTGTCAACTACATCTCAATAAATTCCCTTCTGGTTACGGATCCTTTGTATATTACATGTATTCATGTACTGTAAATATTTTCTTCCTTTCTGAATTTTGTTATTTTGACTATTTCATAAAGAACATATGGTAGCCATCCTAACAGCATCTCTACCCTGTGCTACGAAGTTCCAAACTCCAATATTTCACTAGTTACCTTTTCCATCAAAATTCAACAAATATCTTTATTAACAGAGCATACTTCAACTTTTAATACAACCACAAACCAGTTTTTCCCCAACTTTAAGATAAATAATACAGTTCTCCCTGAAAAAGAAAATCTCATGTTTGCACATTACTTCAAATTACCTTTGAAAAAGTTAGCAGCAAACCCTGCCTTATTCACAGTTCTGTCAGAAACGAATTTCATCCACAAGGTATTGGAGGTAGATCTTATGTCTTCAGGTTTATCATAACCACAGAAACGACCTATCACAGGGCTATTATCACTGTTTCCATCTCGAACCTCTAGGTAGTCATAGGCACAGTTGTCATGTTTTTCAATCTACAATAATAAAAAATTGTGAACATGACCTCATCAATACATAAACAATTTTATAGGAAGATTATTATGTACTCAGTGCCCTAGAACTGACTTGTTAATACAAAAGTTACTTAAGTGAGTGCAATAAGTATTTCTCACAAGTGCACATGTTTCATTTGAATAAAGGACTTTCAAAAGTTAAAATTGTATGGAAATATATCCATGTGAGTTAGGACCAGCAGGAAAATCTGAATGGAAAATCTGATAATATGTGATCACAGTATTTCATTGTGTATAACATTCTTTATCCATAATTAGCATGGCTGGGTATAGAAAGACTTCTATATTGTGGAATCAGCAGTGGTTTCTATTTAGAAAACAAAAACAAAAACAAAAACAGGGTCTTACTAAATTGCTTAGGGCCTCACTTAGTTGCCAAGTCTGGCTTTGAACTTGTGATCCTCTGGCACAGCCTCCCAATTCTCTGGGATCACAGGCATGTGCCACCATATTTGGCTGGCTTTCTTTTTCTCAAGGTAACATGGTCTTGTCTGGATGAGCCCTTTTACATTGACACACTCTTTTTAACCCTCATAATTTCCCTTTTATTAATGACTAAATGCAAATATTAAATCAGAATGTCAGCCTGACTCTTGTTCATGAACCTGACACTTCATAGAGTACTCTTGTTCATGAACAATTTGGCCCTTAACTTCTAAAAACAACAGACCAAAAAACGTACAAATTACTATAAAAATAATAAGACAAATTCTGAATAAAATTTTTACTTTTAACTTTCTTTTTCATAAAAATTGGGTATTATCCCTGAAGTTTCAACTGTTTATTAGGTATTTAACCTATAAAGGAAAGGCATCCATAATTTAAAAACTATTAATACTATTACATCTTGTCAACTACTAATCAACATATAATTCATTAGTTGATGGAGTTCTCCCATTATGAAACTAATGTCAGAAATTCTATTTCTTTTGGAATTAGATTCATTCAGAGAGTTACAATCTGAATGCATTAAACTGCTTATATAGTTGGTTGAAAACTCCTTTTACAAATCTATCAATGCATTATCAGTGATAGTCTTCATATCAAGTAGCATAAAGACAACCAGGAAATAAATTTATTAGAAGCACAGATTTTTATGTAAGAGTACGTGCTACATTTGCCATTTTCTTTCCTGAAACCACAAAAGAGAATTCATTCATTCTTTCAACAAACATTCAGGACCTACTCTCAGCTAGGTACCCTTCTTAATATTTGGTGTATATCATTTAGCAAAATACCAGAACTTTGCCCTTCTGTAGATTACATTCTTCTAGTGGAAAAATAGAAAAGGAATAACAGTACATAATCAACAAATATGCAATCAAATCAGAATATATTAGAAAGTGCTAAGTTCCATGAAAAAATATGAGTGAAACAAGGTAAGGAGTATAAGAATTGGGAATGGGGTAGTGGTAGCAATTCTTAATGATATCAACAGGTAGGGGCTCACTGAGCATGTGAATCATAAATGCACACATTTTTCCTAAAGACAAAAGAAAAAAGTCAACACTAAACAGTAACAAGAATGCAGATAAAA